ATCATGTCATCGATATACGCCTCTACATTCCTGCCAATCTGGTTGATAAAAACGGTGTTTATCATGCGCTGGAATGTAGCCGGTGCATTCTTCAACCCAAACGGCATCACCGTATAGCAGAATAACCCCTGATCAGTGACAAAAGTCGTCTTCTCCTGATCTTTCTTCCAGAGAGGTATTTGATGGAAGCCTGAATAAGCATCCATAAAGCTCATTAGCGCATGGCCGGCTGTTGAGTCGACTAGGCTGTCAATCTTTGGAAGCGGGTAGCTATCTTTTGGGCATGCTTTGTTCAGATATGTGTAATCCACACACATCCGCCAAGTATCGTTCGGCTTCTTTACTAGAACGACATTTGCCACCCAATCCGGGTAGTAGCATTGCCTAATGAATCCAGCATCCAACAGCTTTTTGACCTCAGCCGCTGCCGCTTGAGATCTTTCTCCACCATGATCCCTCTTTTTCTGCCTAACCGGCTGCTTTTTGGGATCTACGGCTAGCTTGTGGACAGCAAGATCCGGGCTGACGCCTGGCATCTCTTCCACTTCGAAGGCAAAGATGTCTTTGAATTCCTTCAGCAGCTGGAGCAAACCTTCTCCCAACCGTTCGAAGGCTACCGTCCCGACCTTGACTGTTCTTTCAGGACGGCTGTCATCTAGGATGACATCAAGGCAGTCACCAGCCGACTGAGGTCGTTGGTCATCTGACCTTTCCCCGGCTAGTGATTGCTATTTCTCCTTTTTGACGGGTGCCAGTTGGTCCGCCTTTCTTTTCATACCGGCTGCCCTTGGAGCCGGGACTGCTGGATCGCAGTTATCAATATCAATAGGCTCGCCCTGGCCGGCTGCACCCACATTTGTCTTGACGTCAGAGAGATAGCACTCTCTTGCCGTCTTCTGGTCCCCGCTTAGGGCACCGACTGTACCATCATCCTTTTGAAATTTGACCAACATGAGGGACGGGATGATGACAGCCTTAGATGCGTTGAGGGTAGGACGGCCAAATATCATGTTGTAGGCGGACAGCTCCTCCACAACTAAAAACTTGACTATCATGTGGCGTCCTTTCCCCTTTTCACCCAGCCGGATCGAAAGATCTATGCTTCCGACCGGATGCACTACTCCACCCCCAAAACCGACTAGTGGGTGAGGAGCCTGGTGCATGTTACCGGATGTGTACTTGAGCTTGGTCAAGCACTGATAACTGATTAGGTCAGACGAGCTCCCGGTGTCTATTAGGATCCGGCCAACCTTCTGGTTGGCAATCTTGCATTCGATGACGATGGGGTCATCATGAGGTCGCCTGACCTTGCCCCGGTCCTTTTCAGAAATAAGGACCTCAGGGAAGATGTCTTTCGACGCCTGGCCCTCATCCACTGAGTTGACCAGCTTCCTGATGTTGTCTTTGGTGCCCCGGATGGTGGGACCCCCTCCGGCAAAACCGCCTGCTATGGTGAAGATGGTCTCTTCATCCGTCTCGGAGTTTACTGGGCCGGTTTTTGTCGCCTGCCCTTTCTTGGCCTGGGTATTACCCTTAGCCTTGGGTAGATAGGATTTTCGGGCCCCCTCATCTGCCAGACGGTCCAATAGCCGCCTGAGGCTATAGCAGCCATTGGTGTCGTGGCCAACATCCTCGTGGTATTGGCAATACTTGCTCTTGTCCCGTTTATTCACGGGGCTTTTCATTTCAGCCGGTTTGTCGAGAGACATCCGGTCTTTGATTTCCAGGAGGATGGTGGAGCAATCTTTTGTGAACTCGTATTTGGGGACATATGGTTCTGACTTCCGCCTGATCTTCTGGGCCGGCTGTCCTGATCGGTCAGCTGCCCGGACCCCTTTTCTCTTTTCTTCCTTTCTTGCCGGCTGATGCTGTTGCCGGCTCTCTTTTTTGTCAGACTTTTTATAATCTGACGGCTGCTTGACAGCACAAAGCTCCGTCGCCTGTATATAGGCTTCAGCTTCAATTAACGCCTCTTGGAGGGTAGCAACCCTCTTCCGGACGAGGTCAAACTTAAATGTCGACCCATCCTTCAGACCTCGAAAGAAGTCTGTATAGGCCACTTCGTCTGATAGTCCTGGAATCTGAATCCTCATCAGATTGAACCGTCTGACGTACGACCGGAGGCCCTCCCGGTCGCCCTGCTGTATTGCCCCTAGGTCGAGGCTAGTCTTTTTGGCAGGAATATTCATTGAGAAATTTGACGTAAACAAGTACGCCAAAGTTCGAAAGCTGTTGATGCAACCGGCTGGTAGGTTACCAAACCACCGTTGGGCTATGCCCTTGAGGGTAGCCGGGAAGCATCGACACCAGACGGCATCATCTAACCCCTGGAGGTACATGAGGTTAGAGTAGGCCATTAGATGGTCTTCTGGGTTGGTGGTGCCATCATAGGCCCCCACCAAAACATTCTTGATCTTAGGCGGCTGTGCCGCCTGGGTTATCTCTGGTGAGAACGCCGTTGGCTGTTCCCCCAAATTTAGCAGGCGCAGCTGCCAGTCCGTGGGTTGGAACGGCTGCTGCGCTTGCCCACCGAAAAGACCCGGTGACATGAAAGGGGATCCACCCAACCCATTCGGTGTGCCGAATAGGCCAGGCTGGATCACTTTGGGTCCAGACCGGGCAGAAGCTTCGCCCGTCTGGCTCCTAAGGTTCGTTCCCGCACGCCTGTGTGAGACGTCATGGAAACTGTCCGGGAAGGTCGACGTTGAGGCCGACGCAGACGCTTGACCTCGCTTCTCTTGGAGAAATGTGCGGGCGTCTGAGAATGTTTTCTTGGAGCCATCCGGCTGTACGTGCCGGATGGCCTTTCGCAGCTCCCCTTGAGGAAAACGGAGTCTGCTTGGATCAAACCTTAAGCCCTCCCCCTCCTTTGGCTTGGGATGAGGGGTAGGAACTCGTTCTTTGACCGCCTTCTTTCCAGAAGGCTTCTTGGCCGACTGACCCTTCTTTGGAGTAGCTGACCGGATGAGGCTCTTGATCTCACCCTTGAAACTATTCATGAACGACATGAGTTCGTTTCTTGTAACGGGGGCTGAGCCCTCCACCGTTTGGGCAATTCCAGCCGGTTGCCCGGCTGGGTTGTTGGGAGCAGCTTGGCTGATTTCCCGTTCTCTTCTATCTTTAGCACGAGGGTGCTTCGTTCTGAAAGACCCATCCGGGGCCACATATGTTTCAATTTCGTCGCCACTTTCATGGTCCGTCTGGACCTCAGGCTCGACCACAGGCCGTTTGCCCTGATTCGGTGACACAGTATCAGAAGTCATCTTAGAAGTACTCTCCCCACAGACGGCGCCAAATGTTTCGGGGTTTTTTGATGTGTCCTGCGGGAGAGTTACAATTCCAAGAATGCCCTTCGACGCCTGTGCCTGCAAAATCACGAAGACTCCTGGGGGTAGGAGCTCCGCCTCCGACGATCAAGTTAGTAAAGATACGGGAGGTAGAATGCACGTAATGTGGAAGTTACTTCTCGCGTAATGGGAGAATTCCGCAATTAATATTGCTCGGGGTAAGTGTGTTTCTTTTTGAGGAGTATTCAATGTGATCAACAAATGTTCCAACCCCCATTAATGAGGGTCCTTCCACTATTTATAGTGGGGAAGGGATGGTTCCCCTTTTAGGGTTTAGAGGACACGTGTCAGCAGAGGATTGGAGCCCTGCTGACCAACGGCTGGATGCCACGTGTCACTAGGCCATTGGGCCACGTGTTTAGGGTATTTTTACCCCAAACACACACTACCAAAAAAAACCATCCCCGGAAAGGAACCAGTGTTAGTTTGCGCAACTGACTCCTTTGGAACTTGTTCAATGAACAATTGCATTGCAACAGAAGAACTCTGAGTCACAGCAATCCACATAGCTCTAAGAGCGTTGTCGTCATTTAACGGAATTGCAACATATGCCCCAGCCATAGGATAACGCATAACCACCTTCAACTCCACACCTCTAGGATCAACACTCAATTCTTCGTATAGCTTGTTCAGAACTTGTGAATATGTCATCGCAGCATGGACAAAAACAAATTTTTGATTCCCACCCCTATACGTTATATCGCTATCTTTGTGGATAATTTCTCCACCCCAATAGCAATATAGAGGGTAGTTCGGAACCTCCATGTTTCATTCTAGAAAAGACCATTATTAATCAAAGATATTAGATTGCGAAAATTCATTAACAGTGTGGCAATGTCCTAACATCAAGCAAGCAAACTACACAATTATAGCAATCTAAACTGAGCTATGAAGGTCTTAATACCTCTTTAAGCTCAACATGGGCATAAGTCATGACTACATGTACTTTGTGTATAGAAATCAGCAATTATAGCAACCTAAACTGAGTAATGTGATCGAAACCATTAATAAATCTACAAGGGTTATATGTAAGGTAAGTAAATCAAAGCTCATGATATGTTATAAACACAATAATACCTCACTCTTTTTACACTAAGGGAAGAAGAAAGTAAAGAGGAGCCCTACGTTTATCACAAACAACCAAAACCAACAACAACAACACATACATACAATTCTGAAACTCAATAACAACAACAAACCCAATAATTGAATACAAAAAATAATTAGGGCACTTACCACAAACAAGAACAACAGCACGTTTCTTCTGAAATTAGCGAAGCCGACCACTAAAGTCGAACCCTCGGCGTCAACAGCGGCGGCCTTCGTTGCTGAGGAATGCTCCGGCGGCGTCGGTGGATTCCTTGGCTGCGCCGGCTTCCGTTAAAGGAGGTGTGATTTTGGTGGAAGGCGTGGATGGGATTTTGGTGAAAAGACGAAATTGAAAGAGGAAAGTGAAACCGCGAAATTATACCTGCTAGAAAACCGCTACTTGAAGTAGCGGTTTATTAAACAAAAACCGCTACTTGAAGTAGCGGTTTATTAAACAAAAACCGCTACCTGAAGTAGCGGTTTATTAAAAAAAAACCGCTACCTGAAGTAGCGGTTTATTAGTAAAAACCGCTACTTCAGGTAGCGGTTTTGCTGTAAACCGGATTTAAAATTTCTTCCCCCTGAACCGGTGACGTGGACGGTACTTTGGAAATTCTTAAAACTTTGACTGCAATTTGGGAATTGCGGTTATTTGTAACATTAATTTGGGAAAGAGCTCATAAAAATTATACTGGCTCCTTTTAGCCCTTTGGTTTTCAGAGCTTTTCACTTAAAATTTATAAGCTGCACCTCTCTCACTCTCTCTACTCTACTGAAGCGTACTCTGATTTCCCCATTGAAGTGGCTTGCTTCATTGAAACAGTTCCTCAGGTAAATTTTTTATTACAATTTTTTTCCTATTTTTAATTATAGAATATCAATTTCACAGTCTAGGTTTTTCAGTTTCACATTATCGTTAATTAACGACCGATTTTGTTGCTGCAAAATTTTTAACTGTATATGCAATTCACGTTGAGCAAGAAGATTATGGTATGTTTTTAAGGGTAATTTGATTATTGTGTCAAAATTAATTGGTAATCTGTTCAGGCAAACCCTTTAATGTTAGGACAGAACTATGATAATGGACTTTTATGAGCTGCTAGTAGCTCCAAACAAGCTTATTAATGATTGTAAGTTGTTTAGTGTAGTGGTGTATGAAGCCACTGATTGATGATAATAAGTAGTTTATATGGTAGAGACGATCAAAAGCCGCTAACTTTGATTCTTTATACTGAAATCTGATATTCTGGGAGTCCATGAGATAAGAGGATGTTGAATTGTCCATGGGAAAGAAAGAGGAAGAAGACAACAAAGGTGAAGGGGTAGTTTAGTCATTTAATCCAGCTGTTTACTTTTAATGGAGAAGTCTAGGCTATGGGGTTTTAGTGAAGGTGGTGGTGAGCATAAGAGCATTGGCCCCTACTTGTAAGAGTGGTGGATCAAAGAGACAGAGAGTTAATGGGAAGAAGATCGAAGAATTAGATTTTATAAGGAAGATGGTTTGATTGGGTGTTGATTAAATGACTTAGGTTATTGATTGAATATATTTATTTACTAAGGGCACGTCAAAAGTTTTTTGCAAACCTTAGGAGTACACGGTGTGTTTCCAATAATACAGAGGTGCCTTATCCTTTCTTTTCGGAATTCCCAAAATACTCCCACTTTGCACCAATTTAAGATTTATTTGCCGAGGCACAATCCTTGTAAGATCGGCTTTCAAGAACTGTCTTGTATTCAATATACATGTATGCATGCAAGGATATTAAAAACTATACTAAGATACCAAAAGTTTAGCTCTCTTGTAAATGAAAAAAAAAAGGGTCTGAATCTGTACATCCTAGTTGCTTTGTCCTTTGACTTGTGGTTTAAGTAGTCAATTGTTGAGAATCACAGAGCATTATATTTTGTAGTTTGTAATTCAGTTTAATGTCTCTTTTTTTCTTCAAGAACCCATATCGATATGTAAAATTACTAATTTAAAAACTCATAAATTTCATAAAACTTATTAACCAAAAACTGCAAAAGTACATCTGGCATGGTATGATTTACAGTTTAGACTGTACATCGCAAAGCTCAATATGGTGTTGCTAAAGTTTTTATCTTGAATATCATATTAGTCAAATTTTTGGCTTGGCCTTTAAGGCAAATCGATTTCTCTAATTTAGATTGACTGTGCAGGTTTTTGCCTACGTTTTGGTGGCCGAAATGGGTGTTTATGCATGTTGAGCTCTTAATTTTTTATTTGCGATATTTCTGGTGACAGTTGGATGATTCAACTTTTGGTGTTCACCAGGTTCGGTCCATATTTTTGTGAAATTACTGTTTGCCTATCCTTCTCTATCCCTCTTAATTATACCTAAATAAGACTTATTGATATTGCATAAGATGGAATTTTTATTTGCAATCTGAAAATGGTGTGAGCAATTTGCTCCTTAATGCTGTCATGTTTTGCTCTGTTAATTGGCTAGAATAGGTTTGATTGTGATGCTTACTGTAGATCATTTCTCTCAACATGACTAACGATTGCTAATATTTTCATTGCTGAGCTGATTCCTGGATAGTCTTAATGCAGATCATCACCATGTCAGGCTAGAACTTGGCAAAGGCTTTGGCGCCGTTGCTTGACAAAATCAAAAATTTCAAATCCTTTGCAGGCCTCACCAAATGGCTTTGAACATAAGGATAAAAAGGTGGACATTGAGGATCTATTCAGGCTCTGCTTCAATGCACATGTTGTCAAGAGAGTTCATGCCCTTCTTGTGGTCTCTGGAACGGCTCAAAGTATATATGTTAGCACTAGGCTTATTAATCTTTATGCTTATCACGGAGAATTGGCTTTTGCTCGTAAAACTTTTGGCAATATCCCTTCAAAAGATGCTTACACTTGGAATTCAATGATAGCTGCATATGTGCGCACTGGCTCTTGCAGTGAAGCGTTGAATTGCTTCAATGAGCTGATATTATCAGCAACGGTTCTGCCTGATAATTACACCTTCCCTCCTATCCTGAAGGCTTGTCAGAGCCTTTTGGATGGACAGAAAATTCACTGTAGGGTTCTCAAAGTTGGTTTTTTGTGGGATGTTTTTGTGGCTGCTTCCTTGATTCATATGTATTCTAGATTTGGTCTTGTGGCTGATGCACAAAACATTTTCACGTATATGCCATTCCGGGATTCAGCTTCTTGGAATGCCATGATTTCTGGATTTTGCCTGAATGGCTATGTGGAAAAAGCATTAGAAGTTGTCAATGAAATGAGATTGGAAGGCATACATTTGGACCCTGTAACTATAGCTAGTATTCTTCCTGTTTGTGCTTTCGTTGGTGACTTCTTCAGTGGTATTATGATCCATGTATATGCCATAAAGCATGGTCTAGAGCATGAGGTCTTTGTTTCCAATGCTTTGATTAATATGTATGCAAAATTTGGTTATCTGCAGCAGGCACAGGAGGTTTTTGATAAGATGTTAGCTAAAGACAGAGTTTCATGGAACTCTATTATATCTGCATATGAGCAGAATGAAAATGGTATCTCTGCTATTAGATTTTTTAGAGGGATGCAGTGTCATGGACTAAAGCCTGACATATTGACACTCGTGAGTCTTGCTGCAAGTGTTGCTCAACTTGGGGATTGTCAAAATGGCAGATTGCTTCATGGGTTTATCGTAAGGAGAGCTTATCTTATGGGTAATGTCATTATGGGAAATGCTCTTCTGGACATGTATGCTAAGTTAGGGATCTTAGATTATGCACAGAAGGTTTTTCATGAGATGCCTAATAAAGATATTATATCATGGAACACTTTGATCTCGGGCTACACCCAGAATGGCCTTGCGAGTGAAGCTACAGAAGCATTCTCTGAGCTAGAATCCTGCATGGAAGTAACTCCCAACCAAGGAACTTGGGTGAGTATGCTACCAGCTTATTCTCATCTAGGGGCTTTGCAACAAGGTATGAAAATTCATGGCCGTGTCATTAAGATGTCTCTTCACTTGGATACATATGTAGGTACTTGTTTAATTGACTTGTATGGGAAATGTGGTAGATTAGATATTGCATTATCCTTATTCTATGAGGTTCCAAGTATGAGCTCTGTGACTTGGAATGCCATTATATCCTGCCATGGGATCCATGGACATGTTGAGATATGTTTGAATCTTTTTAAAGAAATGCTGCAGGAAGGTGTGGTTCCAGATCATGTGACTTTCTTAGCATTATTGTCTGCTTGTAGCCATACAGGATTTGTTGACAAAGGTCAATGGTGCTTCCATTTAATGCAAGATAAATTTGGAATCAAGCCTAATTTAAGGCACTATGGTTGCATGGTGGATATGCTTGGCAGAGCTGGGTTATTAGAGAAGGCATATAATTTTATCAAGGATATGAAAGTGCAGCCAGATTCTTCTGTTTGGGGTGCTCTGCTTGCTGCTTGTCGAACACATGGAAACGTTGAACTGGCGAAATATGCTTCTGATCAGCTGTTTTCCATTGATTCAGAAAATGTAGGATACTATGTTTTGATGTCAAATATTTATGCAAATGTGGGGAAATGGGAAGGGGTTAATGAGATGAGATCATCGGCTTTGGGCAGAGGATTGAAGAAGACTCCAGGCTGGAGCTCTGTTGAAGTGTGCAACAAAATTGATGTTTTCTACACCGGTAACAAGTCTCACCCTGAGTATGATCAGATCTACAGTGAGTTGAACTCTCTAACTGATAAAGTAAAGAGGCTTGGGTATGTTCCAGACTACTGTTTTGTGCTACAGGATGTGGAGGACGACGAGAAGGAACATATTCTTTCAAGTCACAGTGAAAGATTGGCTATTGCTTATGCACTGATAAGCACTCCTTCAAAAAGTCTTATTAGGATTTTCAAAAATTTGAGAGTTTGTGGAGATTGCCACAATTGGACCAAGTTTGTTTCGAAAATTTCTGAGACGGAAATTATTGTGAGGGATTCTAATCGTTTCCATCACTTCAAGGATGGGGCTTGCTCATGTGGGGATTATTGGTGAAGCTGATAAACTCTTGTTTATGTCAATTTCCATTGCTTATTCTGCTGGTTGATTTTGAGCATTTGAATGCTGTCATGTTAGTCTTATTTCTGGGGGAGGAAAAAAAAATCAAACTTAGCTTTTGATGGCTCAATATTATGTCATATTTCCGTTGGCACCTTTGTCAAACAAGATATTAAAAGCTTGAGAATAATGGTTAAGATCGTGCTGCAAAATCATCATAGTTTTCCACTTTCATGGTATTGCCTGCTAATAATGATCAAATACTTGTCATTTTTCCCACAGTTTTGAGTGCTGTTGCATATCTATATTTCTGACCTGATGATCAATACAACTGTTTATTTCAGTTTTGAGAAACTCTGGGAAGATGCCTTCACAATTATATATTTATTCCATTTGAAGATTTTTAACTTAATTTTTGGCCCCAAAACACTACAACAAACACTAGTTGCCAGTTTTCGCAATGTGGCATGCTGCAGAAGGGCATCCATGCCCTGTACTATGTCTCTGGAGGTGATTTCTTCCCCCTTGTGGAAAACGAAGGCTGCAGTCCATTGATGTAATTACTTTCTAACCCGGACAGAGTGATGATCTTTTCCTCCTTTGTAAGGTATTTCAGAGTTGTCATTTTTTAGTACAGTAATACATACAGAACTTATTTATGGTGTAGAGCTACAAAGGATAATGTTATAGATGGGATCATGGAATACCATCAAATTTTAAGCACCACTCAAGAATTTGATATCAACGATAAATATCATCGATAGATTGATTTATCGTGGGAATAAAGAGTGTTCCTCACGTTTTATTATGTAGATTTGTATTTTGCTTGCTTATACTTGTTTGATTTTCTTCCTGAGAATGTTGAAATTTGTTGTTGCTTCTTAGTTGATTAGCAATTGTTGAATGTTTAGTGGTATTTTAGGTGTTTATATAGCTAGGACAGAAGTTTTTTAGTGGAAATGGAATCCATTTAAAAGACGATGGTTGGATGATTAGATTTGACAGTGAGAAATATAAATACGGATTAGTGTTAATTTTTTGAAATTGACAGATTATTATTCGACCTTTTGAAATGCCTGCTCATGGTAATTTTGGTTCATGTAGCCGACTCCACTTATGGGATTGAGGCTTTAATTTGATTGATTGAAATGCCTGCTCAAGATTTGTTGTTTTATTTTTGCTTTGAATGAGGCAAACTCATGGTAATTTTGTGTTTATATGGCTATTTGAATTGAGTGATATTTTAGCTGATCTGATATGCTAAAATCACAGCTTGTATTCAATATTTATCTTTTCCTTTTATGCGCTTAACAGATCTATTATAATTGATGGTTAACCGTTAGTATGCAGTTTTGGCACAATTAAACAAAGTATACTTTATTGAGCTAGATAGTTTTTATATAATTATAATTAAAGTAAAAGTACAAAGAATACCTGTGGCAAGCATCAGGAAATGTGGCAAGCATCAGGAAAAGTTTGTGCCTATTTCCTACCCACCTATATCAAAAGCATCATATGAGCTGCTAGTGATGATGAAAATGGTATAGGAAAAGTTTGTGCCTATTTCCTTTTTGTTACAAAATAAGAGCCAAAAATAAAGAGATTAAGGTAACAAATTCTCTATTATCTACCATGCATGTGTATGCATACGTGGCAACAATATTCCCCTTTCAAAAAAATACTAGTATCTGACAAAATAATAGCAAACCTCCAAAAAAGATATTGTTTATTCTTTCCTTAAAAAAATAGGATAGCGTTTTTTTTTTTTTTTTTTTAGAAAAAGGATAGCATTTATTCGTTTCAAAAAAAAAAAAAAGATAGTGTTTATGATTGTGTTCTTAGTCATCTGTGATGAGGTGGACAATAGGTCCATCTTATCACTTCCCAACAAACTGCGCATCAAATGCTGATTATTAGCTTAGGAATCAAAGTCTTTACTGAATTTTATTTGTTTCCTGCATCATCCTTAGCCTTGCCAGTTGCCACCTTCATTATCACTCTCTCTCTCTCTCTCTCGATCTCTTTCTCTTTCACAACCAGAGATGTCGCCTGATTTATCAGATCAGGATGCCTCCTACAGCAGCAGTAGCCGCGACGACTACCTTCCCACCCTCCTAGAAGCAGCCAGACCATTCCTCCGAGGTGAGTTGGAAAACATCGATGCCAAACTCCCTTCCTTGGTTGTGGTGCTTCGATCAGTTGGTGCAGGGGAGTGCTGGCATAAGCATGGTAGCTTCCTTGAACACCTTTTCGACATGTACCGTATACTCAAACTCTGGGGTGCTTCTGATGCTGTCTGCCTTTGTGGCCTCTTTCACTCCGCCTACTCCAACTCTTATGTCAATCTTGCCATCTTTGATCCCTCCACCGGCCGTCAAACTGTCCGAGATTATGTTGGAGATGCAGCCGAGAGCCTCATCCACCTCTTCTGCATCGTTCCTAGGCAACCCCTCATCCATGATCAGCTCATATTTCATTACTCTGATTCTGAACTCATTGAGCACTTGAAAATGTCTGAGAACTCACTTCGAGATATCAAAGAGAAAGGATTGTCGAGTAGAGATGAAAAGTGGAGGCAGAAGATCAACTCTTTGGTTCCTGAAGATGGGGTGGTGGTGAAACATATAAAGTCAGGGGAAGATGTCAGGGTTTCTAGGAGGATTGTCGCGATTTTTGTTTTAATGACTATAGCTGACTTCAGTGATCAGCTCTTTAGCTTCCAGGATGTCTTATTTGATAACTCTAATGGTCGGCTTGAATTTTCTGGCAATAATATCCAATCCTTGTGGCCCGGAGATGGTAAGCCAGGGCTTTGGCTGAACTCACTGTCAAAGATGGGGGCAGTTTATATGCTACTTGTGAGGGAAGAAGAGATTATGATGGAGGAGAGAAAAAAGACAGGTGATGGAATGACAAAGGTATTAGAAGGAAGAGATGAAGATTTAGAGCTGGTTGTACCGCCAATTTTCGACAATTGCACAAAAGTTTTGAAGGCAGAGGAGCAAATAGAAGCAAGAGATTTGTACTGGGAAGCTGTATGTGAGCATGGAAAGATAGGGATGGAAAAGGCAGAGGAATTGCTGTTAAAGAGCATTGAGAAGAACCCTTTTGTTGGGGAGCCTCGTGTGGTTCTAAGTCAGCTGTATCTGGGCAAGGAAAGGTTTGAGGAAGCGGAACGACAGGCGGAAAGAGGGCTGATTCTTCTGCTGGAATGGGGAAGTCCATGGGATAAGAGGATGTCTTGGGAAGGTTGGATTGCATGGGCAAGAGTTATGCTCATGAAATCCAAGGAAAGGTCTTGGCCTCAGACTTCCTGGGGCATCCTTAACTTGGGCCTTGTAAGATGAATTTTAATCAATTAATCTAATATTAATGTTCCTAATAAAGCTTTAATGTGTTTTGATGCTTACGATCAAATTTCTAGCTGAGTGATCCAATGAGATAATGTCAGAAAATAAATATTTCCTTGGAATTGTTTCAAGATTAAATTGTCATCCTGCTAGTTTGTGCCACTGTGCTATTAGGTGTGACAATTTGGCTATTATGTTATGGTTTTTTTCTTTCATATGGGCTGTTCCATTTTAAGATAGAAAAACCTGGAGGACCTTGGGGTTTTTTTTGTTTTTTTTGTTTTTTTTTCACCCGGTTCACCCTTTGGGCTAATTTGGATTCGGGTTCAGTTCTGGGTGGTGTCCTCCCTACCAAGTACAGTCTCAATTACCACATCTGTTTATTTGTGTTTTCAAAATATTAAAATTTTTAAGTACACTTAATTGGCAATATTATTGCTAGAAGATAATATCAAATTGGACAACTCAAAAAAAAAAAAAAAAAAAAAAAAACAATAAGAAACGAGCTGCTTATATTAAGGAGAGAATTAAGGAGAATAAATTATGGCTAATACTAAGTCTAGCCCTCGTGCAATGTTTATCAAATGAAAAGATATAATCTTGCCAAGAGAATATACGAGTATAAAAGATAAATTTACGGGGTATGTTCTTATTGTAACGGTCTAACATACAGTCATATGTTAAAGATTTGCTAGTTTCCATAATTAACCAGATAATTATATTATAACAAGATTGCATTATATTATTATCAATATATTATGATTTTTTTTATCATACTATCAATGAATGATATGATATTTTTTTAATTAGTAGATTTTACTACTATAGAATTTAGTTTTACGTACCTTTCATTCAATGCTTTATGATTCCTAACATTCCAAGTTTAATATCCTCAAAAGATTTGATTATGAAACCAGGGGTGGTAAAATAGGACGTTTTACCAAATTGAACTTTAAACGGAAACTATTTACGAAAATGGTTGCGTGGCAAAACTATTTACCAAACTAAGCTTCCAGCATAAAACGCTGTCCGAGACAGCGTTTTATGCTCTGGTATAACGCTGTCTCTGACAGCGTTTTTACCTTTTGTATTTTTTTAAAAAAAATTATTAACAATTGTATGTTGAACATAAAACGCTGTCCCAGACAACGTTTTACCTTCTGTATTTTTTTAAATTCAGTAGGGCATAAAACGCTGTCTCGGACAGCGTTTTATCCTTGGGTTTTTTTTAAAAAAAATTCAATGGGTAAAACGCTGTCCGGGACAGCGTTTCATGGCCATATATCAGTATGTTCACTTCAGCAGAATGCGCAAGAACTCAACCTCAACCTCAACGCTTTCCCTCCTCCCTCTCACACTAAACCACGACCGTACTCAAACACCCGCATTGCCGCCGCCGCCCACCCTTGCGCCACCGCTGCTGCCGCCACCTTGCTGCTGCCCTCCTCCCTCTCACACTCACTCACTCAATTTCGTGGTTAGCCCTAAACTGAATTTAGTGTAATTGCATAGTTATTGTGGTTAATTATTGTGAATTGTATGTAATTGCTCTTACTTGTTGTTAATTCATGTCAATTGCATGTAATTGTTGCTAATTATTAATGAAAATGTGGTACATTGTTGATAATTATTGATGGTGATGTGGTACATTGTTATTGAAATTGTTCATGACATTGGTGAAGTTGATGATGGTGAAAATGTTGAAATTATTGAAATAGTTTAGGTTGAAATTGTTGAAATAATTCAAATTGTTCATGAAATTGTTGAAATTGGTGAAGTTGTTGAAAGTGAAGTTGTTATAGGTGAGAAGAGTCTTATTTCAGTGTTGATAATTTACCTCGCTCTAGATTTCGATAATCCTAAAATGTGTTTTGGTTATGTAGAATATGGCGTCACAAAATGTAGTTTTGTTATGCCGGTGGGGAGGAGAAATGCTGTTTGATGGACCCCGGGTCGAGTATAGTGGGGGAAATATGGAACCACTAACACTAGAACCGAACATGACTATGAATGATTTGATGAATGAGGTTCATAGTAGTATTGGTTCAGACCCGATGACCGTTGACGTACACATTAAAATGAGGTTTGAGACCGGCAATGGGGTTCAAGTGTTACCGGTTTCTACGAATAAGCATGTGACAGCTCTAAGGAACGTTGTTGCAATGAAGGGTGTCCCGTACCGGAGGGCATGGTATGCAAAGGGGAAAGCAATAGCTGATATTTACGGTGATTGGGAGAGTTCTTACGGCAGACTTCCGCACTTCATGCAAGCCCTCCAACAGTCAAACCCGGGAACGTGTGTTGTGTGGAAGTACAAAGCGTTGGTTGACGGTGTTTACTACAGCAACATGGAAGTGTTTGAAAGAGTGTTTTGGGCGTTTGGCCCTTGTATCGACGGTTTTAAACATTGTATGTCAGTTATCTGTATCGATGGGACGCACTTGTACGGGAAGTACAAAGGAACACTGTTGGTTGCTACAAGTGTTGATGCAAACTTCCAAGTATTTCCTCTAGCATTTGCGTTGGTTGAGGGGGAAAACACCTCCAGCTGGTCTTGGTTCCTGGGTTGCATTCGGGTTCATGTCACTCAACGAGATGGCCTTTGTGTTATATCTGACCGACATCCTGGGATCATTGCAGTAATGACTGATCCGAACGTTGGATTTACCGAGCCGCGAGCCTATCACAGATTTTGTGTTCGCCACATAGCTTCTAACTTGAAGACTCACGTGCGACGAAACGACATGAGAGATATGTTCAAGGCTACGGCGTACCAAAGGCAGGAAAGAAAACTACACGGCGATCTGTGTTTCATTAGTGAGGCGTGTAACAAGGCAATGGAGTACATTGTTCAAATTCCGTTCACCATGTGGTCCCTCTTTCACGACGCTGGACGTAGATACGGGATTTGCACTACTAACTTCTCTGAGACATTCAACAACGTGTTGAAGGGAGCACGGTTTCTACCGATCATGTCCCTAGTCGAGTTAACTTTTCATAGAGTTAACAAATATTTCACTTTGAGAAGGGAGTCTTCTGAGGCAAGATTTGAACAGGGACTTGCATACCCCCCCAAGGTCACTGCCATTCTAGAGAAGAACACCGCAAAAGCCAGATATCACAGAGCGGATGCGTATAACCGTCGATTGCATATTTACCAAGTTACAACAGAAAGGGGAGACCGACTTGGTAGTAAAGGAGGCCATAAACATACTGTTAACTTTCAGTTAAGAACGTGTACCTGCAACAAACCTACGATATTTCACCTCCCATGTTCTCACGTTCTAGCCGTATGTGCAACGTACTCACTATCAGAGCGGCCGTGGGTTGACCCGGTGCTGCAATCGGAGGCATACACGAGCACATACGCGCCGCAATTCTGGCCAATCCCTTGCGAGACAACCTGGACGCCCTATAACGGTCCCAGAATCATTCCCGACGGGAGCATGTTGCGTGGAATAGGGCGACCAAGGTCAAAGCGCATACGTAATGAAATGGATGAGACTAACCGGCCCGCGAGCAAATGTAGTCGTTGTCACGTTCAGGGCCATAACCGGGCAACGTGTCCATCGAGACCCTCAGAGGACCCATGACTGTTAACTGAAATTCGTTGTAATCGTAGATGGAGGAATTATTTTGTAATAGAAAGTTTTGATTTAATAACATTTGGAACATTTTGATTTAATAACATTTGGAACATTTGATCGTTAACATTTTGGTTAATTGCTAATGCGTTAACTCTGTTGGGATTTGTTAAATTGCATGTGAACAGATACGATGGACGGTAGGGCTGTGGAGCTGGCTGTTGTGGTGGCTGTTGGAGGACTGCAGCATGCAAGCTGTTTGCTGAAGCTTGTTTTCTGCCTGGATGCTGGTTGCTGTTTCCAGCAGAAAAGCGCTGTCTGAGACAGCGCTTTATGTTCAAGCATAACGCGCTGTCTGAGACAGCGTTTTATGTTCAAGCATAAAGCGCTGTCTGAGACAGCGCTTTATGTTGAACATATAAAATAGTTGTAGTTGAATTTTTTTAAAAAAAAACCCAAGGATAAAACGCTGTCCGAGACAGCGTTTTATGCCCTACTGAATTTAAAAAAATACAGAAGGTAAAACGCTGTCCGAGACAGCGATTTACCCTGGAAGCTTAGTTTGGTAAATAGTTTTGCCACGCTACCATTTTTGTCAATGGTTTCCGTTTAAAGCTCAATTTGGTAAAACGTCCGGTAAAATAATTTTAGGGCCCAATTTAATAAAATTACACCGCGCCACTTTCATTGTTAGCATTTGTAGCCCCGCCTCTGGATGAAACCTTACTTGATGTTTTCGATATCCTTTCACAAAAGCTGAATAGGCAAATTAAGGCCTTTACCAAATTCATCAAAGGTTTATTTTACATTTTTACTACTGGTATTGCTCTATATTCCTTTAGTATAACTATCTCAATTTCATCGTTTATCATGTCTTCCTATTTGAATCTTGCTTTAATTAATTTTAATATGTGAGGGTAGTCCATTGCTAGGGTTCGTTTGAGAATATATGAATGTTTGAGAAGGGTTTTGTTTAGATTGGTTAATGATATTTTCCTATTATTTTGGATCATATATTCAATTATATATATACATATTAGTCATTCTTAATTTACATTGGGCCTTTTTATAATTATATCATGCTGCTTCTGTTAATTTATTAATTAGTATTAGGAATTGGGTCTGCTGTAAATTCTTAATTAGATGCAAAGCATAGTCTAGACTGTTATATCATGTGCTAAATTGGCTTGTATTTGACTGTTAATATATTTTCTCTTCAAAACTTCTAACTACTTTTTGTAATATCTAAGAAGTTTTAAGTCTTTTCTTGGATTGAAGGTAACAAGATCGATCAAATGGATGATTACATAAGCAAATTACCAGATGACATTCTTTGTCGCCTTCTTTCTTTATTGACTGTGAGAGATGCTATTAGAGCAAGGTCATTGTCAACTAGGTGGAAACACCTTCCTGAATGTCGATCCACCCTCAAGTTTAATTACACAAGTGTGTTTGGAAAACGCGAGTGCAATTACAATGAATGTCAAAATGAGTTTGTCAGTGCTGTTAATCAATATCTGAAGATATGGGCGGCACAAAAAATAAGTAAATTTAAGCTTGATTTTAATCTGACAAAAGAATATGCTTCACATATTGATGGGTGGATTGCTTGTGCTACCAGAAAGAGAGTTGAGGGATTGGACCTCAACTTTGTTGTTTCACGCGCTGGTGCTCCAAATTATGTTTTATCTTGTCATCTTTTGCACTCAGAGGCATCCAGTTTGAAGCATTTACGCATACATTGTTGCAAGCTAAGTCTTTGTTCAGGGTATAAAAGTGGGTGTAAAAGTTGGCTGACTCAATTGACTACACTCGAGCTGATCTGTGTGACTTTGGTTAAGAATGATATGGAGCATATCCTGTCTTCTTGTTTGAATCTTACATCACTAACCATCCTTGCATGCACCGATTACTCAGGCTGTTTACATGTTAAACTTCCTTGTTTGAAGAAATTGGTAATTTTGATTACCTCAGCCATTGACATTGATTGTCCTAATCTTGAGATATTTGATTATACTAGCAACTTGTCACGTCGTCCTGATACTCCCATGACAAACTGCTGTGCTAAAGTCACATTTTCCCATTCCCCTTGTTGTTTGAGAGAAGTGTATTTGCAGGTTCGTTGTGAAAAAGGGGGCTGCTTATCTAAGTTTGTTGATCACCTCACCAGAAACGCTCCAAAGCTTGAGCATTTGTTTCTTGTGGTAAACACTGAGGTCAGTGGCCATATTACACTGAGTTTATGTAGGGTCTATGTGGCCATATTACATGAGTATTTTTGGGTCTGCCTTCTAGTTCTAGTAACGTGTGTGTCGTATATCTTCAGGTACCGCCAGTGCTTGCAAGCATTGTTACACATAGTCTGAAGCAGTTGCATTTACGGTTGTAAACTCGTGGGGGTTTTGATCTTTTCACTGTTGCTGATAAATTACATGCTACTCCCACCCTTGAGGCTTTACATATAGAGGTTAGTCATTGAGTTTCAGTCTAAATACTCTAAAATCTTAGAATCTAATCAATCTATGCTGATTTTAAATCTCTTTCTTTAAACGATTACAGATAAAGTATAGCGTAACAATCAAGCACAGCCCAGAAAGACAGTATCCAGACCGCCCACATTCCCGGTTGAAAAAAGTTAAAATAGAAGGATATAGTAAAATGTGGAAAGGAATGGAGTTTGTTATGTATTTGCTCAGAAATTCCATTGCACTTGAGCAAATGGTCATTGTGACGAATGATATCTCCAAGTGGAGGTGTGAGCCAAAGTTGGACTTGTTGTATGGAATACATCCAACTGCAGAACTCATAATCTTATAATTACATATCCCAGCAAAACTCAGTAGGTGCAGGAGAGTTCTGCATAAGCACAGCAGCTTCCTCGTCGACATTTACTGTATTCTGAAACTAGGGTGCCTCTGATGCTGTCTGCTTTTGTGGCCTCTTTCACTCTGCCTACTCCAGTTCCTATGTCTTTACCGTATTGTCGAGTAAAGACGAAATTGGAGGCAGCAGATCAACTCTTTGCTTCCTGGAGATAGGGTAATGGTGAACACACTCCAGTTTATTGACAATTTCTTAATATCATAATTTAAATTTGACTAATAGTTTAATCATCAAGTATATTATCTTGTGATCAACTTAATTTACAGTTGGTTAAAAGTTTCGTGAGTTTTTTTTTTTTTTTTTTGGTGTGAATGAGTCACAAGGACAATACAAATTATACAAATGGGGGTCGGGGATTTGAACTTGTGACCCTCGGTTATAAGCACTAGGCCAAAACCTCATTGCAGTTTTGAGATGTATCAATAGAAGTCAAGACTTCAATTTTATTTTATATTTTCATTTGAGCAAATTGTGCTTCACCTCGGCTCTAACAGTTTTGTTATGCTCAGTTTCCAATAGACAAATATGTTATTGAATAAAGAAAAATCAATCTGTTGAATTTAAGTCTGAAAATTAAGTTCAAATAACTAGCTGAAAACTACTGTATCAATAAAATTGATAAGCATATTCATAAACATGTTTGATTTGATTGATTCAATATTTACTTTTGGGTGAAGGCAAATTGGAATAAAATATATATCATCTACTATAACAGATTAAAAATTAGATGGATCACCCTTTTATTTTACCAATTAAAAATAATACCTCCTCCAATTATGAATAATTGACACAGTTTGATCAGTCATAATAACAATTTACACAATAACATTTGAGTTTTACGGTTAAGATTAATAGATAAATAGTGCAAAGGTTAAATTGTTTCAATTATTCAAACATAAAGGGAGTGAAAAGATAATTAAGTATCAAAGAGCTACTAATCTCAGTTAGCACATTACATTTTCTTGATACTCACTTCTTTTTCGAACGACAATAATAACTCTCTCAATAAAAATTAGGTGGAGTGAACATACAAAGTTTTGATTATCAACCGACCATAAATTAATTGTTATATGTCTACGCGTATGTGTGGAAATGTCAATTACACTTGCATCTTCAAATAGATTAACAACACGAATTAATCACGATTATTTTTATAGCTTATAACTAATCATGTCACGATTTTGAAGGACGATGTAGCTGGATTTTTTACAAAAGTGAGCTTTATTGGCAAAGTATTTACCAAATCGGTCTCGTGGCAAAAGTATTTCCCAAACTAAGCTTCTAAGGTGAAACGTTGTATCGGACAACGTTTTACACCCAGATTTTTTAAAAAAAAAATTGAAGACATAAAACGCTGTCTCAGACAGCGTTTTACTTGTTTGACTTTTTTTGGCCAAACTTCGTATTTCATAATTTTATTTTAAAAAAAAATACCCCAATACAGTAAAACGCTGCCTGAGACAGCGTTTATTTTACAGAATAAAACGCAGCCTGAGGCAGCGTTATATTTCTGAAGAATAAACGCTACCTCAGGCAGCGTTTCTTGCGGGCATATATTTTCACATTCTCACACATGGTTTTACACTCTTTCTCTACTAAAGTAACTCTCATTCTCACAAACACCGAACCACCGCCGTTGCCACCGCCGTCCCTGTCGCCGCCCAAGTGAAGGGAAGCTGTTGCCGGCATTGTCTCACTCACTCACTCTCTAAATCCGGGTAAACCCTAAATTCGTAGTATAATTTTACATTGAATAGTTGGTAGTTTTTGTATGTTGTAGCAAAATGTGATGTAAATTGTATTAATTTGTTGCTAATTAGTAATGAAAATGTGATAAATTGTTGATAATTGTTGATGATAATGTAGTACATTGTTGAAGAACAATGTAGACGAAATTGTTGATGAAATTGTCGATGGTAATGTGATACATAATTGACGAAAATAATGTGGTTTATTTTTGATGAAATTGTTGATGGTAATGTGGTTTATTTTTGTGAAAATAATGATGAAATTGTGGATGGTAATGTGGTTTATTTTTGTGAAAATAATGATGAAATAGTTGATGGTAATGCCGTACTAGTATGTTGATACAAAGAGTTAATGAAATTGGTGATGAAAATGTTGATAGTGAGAATGGGCTTGTTTCATTGTTGTCATATTATCTAAACATGTAGGTTCTTGAAATTTGATATAACTTTCCATTATCAAAGCTATGTATGTTATGTATTGTTAAATTAGGGGTTTTTTACGTTGTTTTAGAATTCGATTATCCTTAAATGTGTTGTGGTTGTTATGTAGAATATGGCTACATAAAATATAGTGTTGTTATGCCGGTGGGGAGGTGAAATTATGTGTGATGGATCAAATGTTGAGTACAGTGGAGGGAATATGGAACTTATAACACTTGAACCGAACATGAGTGTGAATGATCTGATGAATGAGGTCCACAGTAGTATCGGCTCAAACCCAATGAATGTTGAACTGAACCTTAAAATGAGGTGTGAGACTGGCCATGGGGTTCAAGTGATACCTGTCTCCACAAACAAACATTTAAAAGCTTTTGGAAGCAAGAGCGGAAGCCATCTTCAGATTATTTACCTGCAGCTGTTAGCCCACGACTGGGAAGAGATCTGTGGATACAATTGGGGTAGTGCTTGTTTGGCTGTCTTGTATCGCCATCTGTGTAGAGCATCACAGCGTGGAGCACAGCTGATCGGAGGTCCTTTGATTGTGTTACAAGTAAACCTCATCATTATCCTTGAGCCTAGTTTGATAATGACTTGACGTTATTTATACTTTACCTTTTTAAAAAAAAAAAAAAAACAGCTATGGGCTTGGGAGCACATCCATGTAGGGAGACCAGGTAGGCCAGTTGTACACCGTCCGGGGCAGCTGGGGATCAGGACGATCAGTACGCAGCGTATGATGCTCCCCCACTCCCTGAACCCGATCAGGCATACGGTTGTAGGTTCGTAACATTACACTTGTGTTGCCGCATTTTGTTATAATTCGCTAGTACAACTTCTTAAATAATTTGTTGTCATAGGTGGGTGGTTCCCAGATTGACACATGCGCATACAGCGAGAGGTCTTCTGTACTACCGTGACGCCCTCGACCGACTCACGGATGAACAGGTGGAATCTTGCAACAAATTTGTAATCTTTTGTTTACTCTTTATACTGTTTATTAGCGTTGCCCTAACCTATTTATGATATTTCCTTATTGCAGATGACATGGGATCCCTATTTTTCTGTGTTGGTAGAGGCCATGCCAGAACACTTGCTCGAGCATCGTGCTGAGTGGCTTGCCAGGGACCCCATGATCTGTTCGAGGTCGTGGAGAGTCACCTACCGGATCGAGTGATGCGACAGTTCGGACTTCACCAGCCTATCCCCCTAGCCTGTGACACTAGTATCCGCCTCCACGGCATTGACCGTCGGGGAAAGGTGGAGACAAACTGGGCACAAGAGCATCATCATTTCATTGAATTGAGCTTTGGGACCAGCGGTTGGAGTCTGTCGTTGTCGGTCATCTGTTTCAGGGTGTTATGGATCCGCGTGATCCTTACATGGTATGGTACAGGCAGATTACACGCCTTTTCATCAACCCTACCTACACGCCACCGTCCACGCACTACCATCCAGCTTATGATGTTATCAGCGGACTTGTGAGTTTATTTAATTTTCTTGTTTTCCCAAATTATTTGAAATTCTATATCATATTACTAAGTCATGGATGATTACTGCAGGCAGGGGATATGGGTGCGATGGTTGATGCACTTTCAGATGCCTTAGCAGCCATACCCACCAGAGCCCTGGTCGAGCGGGTGCGAGATATGGGCATACATAGCTTGCAGAGATATGGCCATGGCCATCTCGTCCACCCTAGGGACGATCATGACCCCAACTCCTTCCATTCATAGTTCGACTTCGGACAGAGCAGTGGCGCAGGTGATTACCATTCACAGTTCGACTTCGGACAGAGCGGTGGTGGAGGTGATACTTCGGGCTCTACACAGGCAGAGGATTACTTCATCCATAACACCGCTCCCGGCCATACCCAGGATGACTCATCATCTAGCCAGCTGACTCCACCGTCCCGAGACCCATTCACCACCATTCGGCATTACACGAGGCGTCCGAGGCGTATTCGTAGACGGACGGAGGACACACAGGATGGAGATCAGTTAACTCCAATACATGAGTGCGGATAGTATTAGTTAGTTGGTCTTTTTGTGGTACTCAGATATTTAACAATGTTGTATATAACGCTTACATTATTAATACAAGAAATGTTTTTTAAATGACTCTCTGTACAATTTGAAGTTTATTTCCCTTATTTGTCCGAATTTGACTTTTGTCAGTAAAACTAGATCTTTCATCGCCGTTATATATATCAAACAGCATATAGTTGGTCTGCTGCACTTAAAGTGCTGTTTCACGATGGTTTTAGTGTTGTTGGCAGCCGATGGTGGTGGGGGAGGTGGTTGATGGTGTTGGGGGTGGTGGTTGATGGTGGGGTTGATGCTTGATGGTGGTGGGGGTGGTGGGAATGTTCTTGCATTGTTTAGGGTGTTTTGCATTGCATAGGGGTGGTCGAGAGTGGCGGCCGATGGTGGTGGGGGAGGTGGTTGATGGTGGTGGGGGTGGTGGTTGATGGTGGGGCTGAGGCTGAGGCTGCTGGGTGAGGTTGATGTGTAGGGGCAGCAGCAGATGGACAGGAACAGCAGCTGACTGCTGGTGATGCAGTCCAGCAGAAAAACGCTGCCTGAGGCAGCGTTTTTTTCTTTAAGTAAAATGTTGTCTCAGGCAGCGTTTTATTTAAAGAAAAAAAAAAACGATGCCTGAGGCAGCGTTTTAAAGTCCACATACATAAAATACGTGTATTGCAGTATATTTTGCCAAAATACACACCAACAAGTCAACTACCATAAAACGCTGTTTCAGACAACGTTTTATGTCTTGAATTTTTTTTTAAAAAAAATCTGGGTGTAAAACGCTGTCAGATACAGCGTTTTACCCCAGAATCTTAGTTTGGGAAATATTTTTGCCACGAGATCGATTTGGTAAATACTTTGCCAATAAAGCTCACTTTTGTAAAAAATCCGATGTAGCTAGTTACAAATTAACAAAAATTTCCTAGACAAACATATAAT